CAACAGCAGCCTGCTGAGATTTGTCCTGTTGCCTTGTCTTCATAATGGAGTTAAATCTTTATCACTCAGTGATGCAAGACAGAGATGTGATGAGATTTGCATGGCAAAATAGGTGTGACAACAAAACCCAAGTTTCTAGTTTATGTAGATATAATAACTTAGTAACTGCTGGAAGAGGATGAACTAATCAAACTCGTATGTAGGAGACTGGGGAGATGGTTCAGTAGCTGAAGCAAAGCTACGTGAGTGTGAGGACTGGAGCTTGCATTCCCATAAACTATGTAAATTCCAGGCAAAGGTGGCAGCTGCCTGCAATCCATTATCCAGGGGGCAGAAACAGGGAATCCTTGGGGCAAGCAGGCTAGCTAGACTAGCTGGACCCTGAAGTAAGCTAGTTCCAGGTTCAGTTAGAGTCCATATCTCCCTCTATAAACAAACTGAAAAATGATGGAGGAAGGTACTAAAAGTCCATTTTAAGACTCTACACAGACACAGGCACACAGACACACACACACACACACACACACACGTGTAAATATACCTACACATGTACCCATATACTCAAGAAAACACCTCATATCACACACACACACACACACACACACACATGGAGTTTATACATGGGATGAGTCTTTAAAATTTTTAGTACATCATTTTGCCCCTTCTATTATCTCCACACTCTCAAATGTGTGTGTGTATGTATGTATGTATGTATGTATGTATGTATGTATGTATGTATGTGTGTGGACACACACTGTGTGTGTGTATATATATACTGCTGAGTCTGTTGTCTGTTTAGTGTTGATATGTGTATAATTTCAGGGCTGACCATCTTTTATTGGAAAACTAATGAGGAGGCTCATCCCTGGCAGAGATTAATTTTCCCTCTCTCAACAGTCATTAGTTGATTTTAGTTTTTTGTTTTGGGATGGGACCTCATGAAATTTTTCCCTTTTGAGTTTGCATGCTTACTGCTGTTGTCATTGTTTAAAGTTGTAGAATATTACTTTAAGATGTGTCACATTTGTTTATGCTGTAGAATATTAGTTTAATGGTGCAAAGTTATGAGCATTCTTTTTATGTTGCATTTGTTTAACTCCGAGAAGCTGTATTACTTTGCCTGTCTAAAACACCTGATTAGTCTAATAAAGAGCTGGATGGTCAATAGTAACACAGAAAAAAGAGTAGGCAGCACTGGCAGGCAGAGAGAATAAATAGGAATAGAAAAAGAGAAGAGAGAGGATGAAGGAAAGAAGGAGAGAGGACACCAGGGGCCAGCCACACAGCCACACAGCCACACAGTCACACAGCCACACAGCCACACAGCCACACAGCCAGACATAGAGTAAGAAGTAAAGAAAAGATAAACAGAAATAGAAAGAGGTAAAGGCCCATAGCAAAAGATAGACAAGATAATTTAAGTTAAGAAAAGCTGACCAGCCATTCATAAGTAGTAAGTATATCATGTGTATTTATTTGGGAGCTGGGTGGTGGATCCCCCAAAGGGCCAAAGAGTAAAAGAATAAAATCAACCAAGTACAGTTCAGGTCTTGTTTAAGCAATCGTGTTATTGAATTATCATGTCCTGTCATTTCTATGAGGCACAATCTCACAGCTGATTTCTTGTTCCTCTGACCCTTTCAATCTTTCTATCACATTTTGGAAAATGTCCCCTGAGCTTTAGGTGCAGGAGTTGTGTCCCAGCTGTGTCTGTTGGGACCTGTGCCCCCATGATCAGTTGATGTCTGTGTTATGACTACTTTTGGTTGTCTATGGCCTCTGCTGAAAAGAGAAGCTTCTGTGACATGGAGGGAGAGCTACACTTTTCTGTGAGCTCTAGGAATTATGCTGGTCTAGTAAGTGGCAAGAGTAGTTTCTCCTCTAAGATCCATGACATTACTAACAATGGGTAGTCTTGGCATTTTGGTCCTTGTTATGATACTTGGTGGCACCATTGGTTTCTTCCCTCCCTTGGAAGCTTGCATAGCACCTTCTTGTACTATGAAAACTGAAGGAAAGGAAGGAGCATTTCAGGTTAGATCCAGCAGAAATCTTTAGCATGCTGTGTCTGAGTATATGGTATCTTCAATATAATACTTGTATGCATTATGTAACTGCAGGTAAATATAAAATAATATGATTCCTTGGTTTTCCTTGTCCCTTATTTCTCCAAATCCTGTATTGACTTGGTTTCTTTCTCCCCAACTAAAGTTTTCCTCCATGGTTTTCCCATTTCCTCTCTAAGTTAAGAAAACAAAAATAAACAAACTCAACTTTAGAGACTAGCATCAGTTAGTGTTAACCTTACTAGCTTCTGTTGAGTTTTGAACATTCTGAGGAGCCACTCCTCACTGGAAACCTTTGGTTGAAATGTAACTTTAGATAAATAATGATGAAAGCTACATCTTCAGAGAGCAGAACATTCATGTTACTCAGGTTTATGCTGTGCTGCTGGTAGAATACTATTTCAGAAAAAAAAGACATTTTAAACTATGAGGTAGGTATCCACATAAAGCTTTTGATTTTATAGTATATCATTACTGCATGTAATGCATTTTATTTTTTTAATTTAATTTATTATTTTACATGTTGATCCCAGTTCCTCCTCCCTCCCTCCCTCACTTCCTCTCTTCCTCCCTCCCTCCCTTTTACCCTCTCTGCCCGCTAACATACACCCTGACCACCCTCCCCTCCCATACCCCCACACCAATTCCATATGTAGGGCATTGCCATCACGGTGGGGTCATGTAGATCTGACAGGTCATTTGAAGCAGGGACTAGCTTTCTCTCCTGGCTCTAGGTCAAGGCAGTTATCCCTCCACGGGGGATGTGTTTGCAAGGTCCTTTTGTGCACCAGGGATACATCCTGGTTCCACTGTCTGAGATCCCTTAGACTGCTCAGTCCTTCTGGCTGAGACCCATATTCAGGGGAGCCTGAGTCAGTCCCATGCTGGATTCCCAGCTATCAGTCTATGTGCCCGTTAGCTCCTCCTTGTTCAGGTCAGCTGTCTCTATGTGTTTCTGCAACAGTCTTGTCCTCTCCATCTGCATCTGGGTTCTAGTTAGACTCAGTGTTTAGGTATGGGTGTTTGCTTCTGTTTCCAACAGGTATTAGATGAGGGCTCCATGGAGAAGTTAGTTGTTGATCTCACTATCTGGGAAGGGCATTTACAGTAGCCTTTTCATGGATGCTCAAATTGTTAGTTGGCGGCAGTCTTGTAGTTCTCTAGACCTTTCTTTGGGTTCAATTTTCTCTTCAAACCAATATTGGCTCCCTCTTTTATGTTCTCTCTCTCTCCCTCCTCTCCCCTCCTCTCTCTCTTACTCTCTCTCTCTCTCTCTCTCTCTCTCGTATTCTATTCCTACCCTGACTCAATCTTCCTAGTTGCACGTGTTTTCCTCTCCTCCCCCTCTCTTTCTTCTACTTCTCTCTCCATTTACTGCCCTCTCCACTTCCCCTGTGCTCTGAGGGACATGTCCCTTCCCGGTTCTGTGAAGGACTTTATATGAATCTCTTAGAATACACCTTGTATCCTACCTAGTTCCTCTGGCAATGTGAATTATAGGCTGGTGATCCTTTGCTCTAGGTCTAAAATCCATATATGAGTGAGTACATACTATGTTCCTCTTTTTGTGACTGGGTTACCTCATTCAGGATGGTTTCTTCAAGTGCCATCCACTTGCCTGCGAATTTCAAGATACCATTATTTTTTTCTGCAGAGTAGTATTCCATTGTGTAGATGTGCCACATCTTCATTATCCATTCTTCAATTGAGGGGCATCTAGGTTGCTTCCAGGTTCTTGCTAGCATGTAATGCATTTTAACCATAGACTATTTTCTTAGAAAAAGCTGAACCCTGAAAAATATCTTGGTTTTATAACATTTTGAATATTATATGAGACTTTCTCCATTTCTTAAATATTTTGCTAATTTTTATTTTGTGTACATTGGAGTTTTACCTGCATGAATGTCTATGTGAGGGTATTAGATCCCCTAGAAATGGAGTTACAGACAGTTGAAAGTTGCCATGTGGGTTCTGGGAATTGAACCTGGGTCCTCTGTAAGAGTAGTTAGAGCTCTTAACCACTGAGCCATCTCTCCTGCCCCCAAATAAGTACTGTTGATGACCCAAACCTGGTATGAACATCCATTTTTCATAAGTTCTTACTGGTGACAATAAGACATTGCATCACATTAAAAATGTCATGTGCTCTTTACTGTGAAAATAATTATAATCAAAATACAGCTGCTGTTTAGAGATCATCTCAAATGTGGAACTTTCAGATAAGATTTATTTTTTTTATAAATGTGTTTTATTGGGTATGACAGAGTCTTTCAAGTAAAATTAATTAAATGAATTAACACATTTGGAAGTGAGATCTCCAGATGGTGGAGAGAGGGTAGTCTTATTAAGAGAAAATTGTGGCACATTTGGATCACTTCGCGTAAAGATATAAATGTCTGTCAGTTTCCTGCCTTTGTACCAGAATAGCATGGAGTTGGTCATTTTTAAAGAATATAGATACCTCAATTAAAACTGAGTGAGAGGAGAGACCTACATGCCTGCCTGGGGAGACCTTCCAGTGAGGTGAAGAGAAAACACTGGCAGTCAGACACTATTACAGTGACCAAATATATGGTGAAATATAGGGGGAGAGAGAGAGAGACAGAGAGAGAGAGAGAGAATGCTTCATGTCTGTGGAGAGAGGCAGATCTGAAGAGATGAAGGCAGCAGGGGTGGGCTCAGGTGGATGGCTTACTTGCCATGGTGATGTCCTGGGTCTGGGATGCTGCCAAGGTCCATACCTGGGTCCATGGCTCTGCTGCAGCCATGGTCTGTGTTGATGTCTGTGACTCCTGTTACCACTGAAGGCTGAGAGGATAGGGCTGCACAATTGCCTGCACCCCTCACTGGCTCCAACACTCTGGAGAACATCTCACCTGGGCAGCAATAGAGCTGACCCTATTCACGGGGCTCTGGCAGGCTGGCACTGAGGGCATGATAGTGGAAGAGCTGGTCCTGCCCCCTTGTCTGCCATGCTGCTGCACAGGTGAGCGGAAGATGCCTTACCTCACCGCCCGGCGCCACCTGAAGAAGGTGGGAGGTGTGGACCTGTCCCTCATCTGCCTTGAGGTGGTGTTGGAGAGGGAAAGATGCCCTCCCCCATAGCCCTCTCTTACCCCCACCCCCACCCCTCATCACCTGTGTCATGATCATGAGAGCAGGAAAGCTGTCCGTCCCCTCACCAGCTGCAGCACTGAGGAGACTCATCCCTGCACCTCGCCAGGGCCAGCACAGTAGAGCCCTTTCTGGTGGTGTAGGTGTAGGTGAGCAAGCCCCAAGCACGTGGGAGGAGGAGAACAGACCACGCCCCTTGCTGATTACTGTTTAGAGTGAACTGGGAGGGGGCAGTTCTGGAGAGAACAAGGAAGAGCTGGTGGACTGACCAGCCCTGCAACCCCTCAGGCCCAGAATGACACCCGCCCCAACATCCACCCCATCTGTGATATGTTGGAGCATGAGAAGGGGCCAGTCTTGCAGACTCAAAGCTGCAGGATCTCTACAACACCCCAGCAGTGAAAAGAAGAGGGACAGGTTTGAATAATATTTTACCAAGGAACACACACACACACACGCACACACACACACACACACACACACACACACACACACACACATGTCTAATATGCTCATATAAAAATGTTTAACATCTCTAGTCAAAGGGAAATGCAAATCAAAGCTACAGTGAGATACCATTTTCTAGAATGGTATTTAGCATGATGCTATGACTCGGGCAATCTCTAAATGAGATTCTGAACCTGAACCTGGAAGGAAGTGGTTTGCTGCGACCATAGAGAGGTTTATTGTTCAGGCTGGAAAGGCAGGTCTGGAGGTGGAGGCAGGATGATGAGGTCCAGCTTCTGGACACACAGTGAAATTAGTCAGGGTCCAGTAGCTCTATTTCGTCTTTAGGTGTCTATGGGGAGCTCTGAGACCTTGAGGCAAGGTTTTATATTTGAGAAATTATTACAGAAGTGACTAAAAAAATCAATATTCTTATGTGGAATATTTTCTTATGTCTTATTATTTGAAAACCATGGCCATCATCTGCAAATCCTATAGTAATCCCCTATCAGAATGCCTGCTATGGAGTGGAGCTAAAGCTAGAATCCCATTTAAGAGTGCTAGCAGTGGCAGGACTCAGGTCTGGGAAGGTTTAAGTTCATGTTACATGGCTGAAGATGTCTACATCTGTGTTTTTACACTTTGAAGGAAAGCTGCCATGGTATTGTGGCACCCTTTGAATGACAATGAACTATTCCTCTTGGGAGAACAAACCAACACATGGACCATTCCTGTTTCCCATGTCAGTCCAACTGCATTGACACACTGAGGGGTGGGAGAGGAACATGTCTTGTTAAGAGCTTACGAGCATGATAGACATGGGCTGTACATGAGGTTTAGAGGTTGCTCTTCTGAAATTGACATCAGGGCAGGTCCAAGTGCAGCTAATTTGGCTAAGGTTGGAAGTATCTTTAAACTTGTCATGATTCACTCTCATGTGTCCATTGAAGGTAGGTTAAATCACATGCCAATTCATGAAAGACTTACTGTGAGCACACACTGAAATATTTTTTATAACAATTAAAGAATGGAAGCAATGCACATTGGTGAATATAAAATGTGGTATATCTATTCATGGCATATTAGCAATGAAATAGATTGGAAGACTGACACATGCTGCCATGGTACAAATAGATACCTCATGCTAAGAGAAAGGACACACACATAAAATATCATCCAAAATAAAAAGCAGATCAGCCCTTGCTTGAGGCTCAAGGGCAGAGCTGGTGTTGAGTGCATGAGTTTAAGGGACCTATTTAGGAAGAGGGGACTATTATAAAACCAGGTACTGCTGATACATCCTCTGTAAAATCACTGAATATTACCAATCATGCAATTATACTTATTATATGCAGAAAATTTTATAGAAAAGTATAATCACATCTACATTAGGATACCTGTGAGCATACAAGCGTCATATTATTTTATGTGCCTATGTGGCTGGGTTTAAAATAGCAGCTGATATGGAAGTAAATGTTATGTTGCTGGGCTATAAAGAAGATTTAAGTTTTTTTTTTTTTTTTTTAAAAAAAAAAAGAGGTCTAAATTAAATCAGAGAGTCCACAAGTAATATACAGAGACATCCTGAAGTGAGACAGGGGTGATATATCTTCCTTGTCTTAGATGGGGTTTCTGTTGCTGTGATGAAACACCATGACTAAAAAGCAAGTTGTAGAGGAAAGGGTTTATTGGACTTATACTTCCACACTGTAGTCCATCACTGAAGGAAGCCAGGACAGAACTCAAACATGGCAGGGATCTGGAGGCAGGAACTGATGTAGAGGCCATGGAGGGGTGCTGCTTAGTGCCTTGCTGTCCAGCCTGCTTTCTTATAGCACCTAGGACCACATGGGCTGTGTTCTCCACCCTTAACTACTAATTAAGAAAATGGCCTAGAGACTCCTCTATAGCCCTATCTTATGGAAATATTTCTCGATGGAGGCCCCCTCCTCTCAGTTTGTTTCAAGTTTACATAAATCTAGCCAGAACACCTACCACTCCAGTTTCTTACATTTCCTCCCTAGTTTCTAGGCCATTTGTATCAGGATTAAATCAGTTCATAAGGTGGGGAGTGGTCATTCAGAGGTGAGATCCTGTGATGCATGAGGCATTGTATCAAGCTCAGTGGAATTAGGCAAGGTTAGTATTGACTGATCTCTTTTTACTATGTACCAGGCTTCTGGGGCTTCATACACATCATGACGTCATTCAATCTTCCCAGCAATGAGATTATGTGGGACTAGTGAAACTTCCATTTCATAGCAAGAAAAATCAGGACACAAACATGTTCTAGTAACCTGGCCCTGGCCACACAGCTGAGCAGGGTGCTAATGTCAGAGCCTATGCTCCAGTTCTTAAATCTCATGTTGGAGAAACAGGCCTAAGCTGGATGTCCCACAGAACACACAGAGTGATTTCCCAAGGCATCTATGGGGTCTTGAGGTGGGAGGTGTTTGGTGATCACAAATGACTTAAGCTTGCAGGAACAGAGGATTTGGGGGAGGAATGGAGTGAGGATAGTTGGTCTGGGTGCCATATATCATCCTGGAGCTGGCTGATCAGCCTAGGGAATCTTTGAATCCTTCTGCCCGTGAAGTCAGACTTAATGAGTCAGATGTGGAACAGCAACAGAGAATACAGAACAGCCCACAGGGAGAGGGGCATTTCAGAGGGCTGTCTACATCTCTTGCATGCAACCTGGGACAACCTTCACCAGAATAAACTTGGGGGTTCAGCATGCAGTCCTTGATGAACCTGAGGAGTTAGAGCTACTTTACCTGACTTCTGGATATTTCAGGAAAGCTTTGCAAACCCTTAGTCAGGGCTGTGTTTCTGATGCCCAGTTCAGGTAGCCCTCTTCTGCTCCCAAAGGAGAGTTAAACCTACTGGTTATGTTACTCTGAGATTCCATTGTTTCATGGAGTACCAGCTTTGTATGTCGGTGCACTGTCCTTTTAGCCAGGCCCAAGAATAAGCATGTCCACCCCATTCACTGTGATTTTCATTAAAAGCCGGTCCCCTAAGGAAAGAATGATTTGTGACCAAACAATTCCATCCTGACTCAAAGGGGTGATTTCCCTTTTTCTTCTGGAAATGTTCCTCCCAGCAGAGTACTGACTACAGCACACAGTCAAAGGTTATTAATGACTTCATTCATCCCTTCAGCAGACATTTATGCTGTAGGAGACCTGGGCTGTTATCTTAGAGCCTGGACTTCAGGAGAGTGGCTATGCAGGTGGGACTGAATTCAATTTGGGGGAAAACATCCATCTCACCTCAGGGAGGGGATTGCCAGGTTCACTCTGCAGCATCTGTGACACAATTATCAATTACTTAATTTATAGGGATCTTATGAGACTATGACACAGTCAGCTAGAGTAGCAGGGCCTGTGATCCACTCCTGAAGAATGGCCCCTCCCTATTCAGGAAGGGCCCCCACCTTTGTGTGGGGAACAAAATGCAGCACATGCAATGACCACCCAGAGCAAGTACTGTCCCGGGAATGTGTCCAAGCACAGAAAGTGGGAAACCCAAGGAAAGCAAGCCAGGGGAGCTGATCAAGTCTCAGAACTATAAAGTTCCATACACAGACCAGAGGAGACCAGACACTCAAAAGCTGGGCAGAAAGGACAAGATGTGCTTGAGAATGAGCACTGTGATTGTTTGAATATACTTGGCCTCCATAATCTCATAGGGAGTGGCTCTATTAGGGGGTGGTTTTGTTGGAAGAAGAGAGTCACTATGGGGTGGGCTTTCAGTTTTCCTATGCTCAGGATACTGACAACTATTTCAGTTGACTTCCTGTTGCCCTCCAGCACCATGTCTGCCTGCATGCAGCCATGCTTTCTGCCATGATAATAATGGACTGAACCTCTGTAAGTGAGCCACCCCAATTAAATGTTTTCCTTATAAGAGTTGCTATGGTCATGGTGTCTCTTCACAGCAATAGAAACCCTAACTAAGATAAAGAAAGCCCTTTGGTGTGGCTTTGAATCTAAAGTGTTCCCCATAGGTTCCTATTTTGCATTCTGGTTCCCCAGTGGGTGGTGTTATTCAGGGAGCCTTTAAGAGGTGGCACCTGAATGATGGAAGTAGATCACTAGAGGTAGACCTTTGAAGGTTAAAGCTGTACCCTTGGTTCCTACCTTGCTCTTCTGTTTCCTGGTCAGCTGAGATGTGAACAGCCTCCTCCACCGGTTCCTACTACCATCAACTGACCCACTCTGTCATACCTTCCTTCCTGAAGTCATGAGCCAAACAAACCTTTCCTCTCCTTATTTCCTCTATCATGTATCTGTTGATTAGCACTTTTTGAGTCTATGATAGCCATGGTGGATGGATGGACTTGAGATGGAAAAACACAGTCATTAAACATGCAAACTGGTGATACTTGAGAAATAATGCAGGCATTCTTTCACGGGCTATGGAAACCCACTGAAGGGCTTTTGAAACAAGCACTGAGATGGAGTTTAATTTGTGGAGGAGAGGTGATTTTTCTTGTGTGAAGCAGGAC